TACCCTCAGTGAGCGCACTAAGCAGTATAGCTCGTCGTTTAACTCCCGTCGCATCGGTTAAATGGTTCACATCGTTCGCGATAAACCACTGCGTTATGCGATTTTTATACGTTTTCCACGTTTGCTCACTGTGATTAAAGCACGATAAAACACCAAAATGCATAACAGACATTTTGGGTTTTATTTTTTTAAAAGTGGGTATTTCACGCACTCGTCGCCACTGTTATGTATTGGGAGTAGTAAAACGATAGCTAGCTTAGCGCAGACTGTTTATTCAAGTAGCTGTCACACTAACGGCGGACTTCGCCGCTCGTTCGGAAACAAGCGCTGTGCAAGCGCATACACAACAATGATGACCATTCAAAAATGGTATGATAGATTACTACTTACATTAGGAGAGAGATAAGAAGGGTTGGGAGGAAATGATAGGGCTGTTGAATACATTACTCATAACATTAAGAGAAGAATTTGTAACTATTAAATCAACAAGAATGTAAACTTTACAGTCCAGAGTGGCAGAATGCCAGAGGCGGGTGCATGACCTCATTGACCTGCAGCTGTGCAGTGCGGGAGTGGATGCCGCCATTAAAGCACATGATTATGAAACCGGTCAGTGGCATTGTAGTATTGTAAAGGAAATAATTATATTATATTCTCTCGAAAATGAGGCAAGATTTGTGTGCGCGTCAGGTGCACGTCTTGTGGCGAGGTTCCTGAGCATGGAACCCGGTTCGGTGGCGGCGGCACGAGCCCGCGGCGCTCCCGACCCGCGCACCGACATGGAGCGCGCCGCCAACACGCTGCGCGACCATCTCGTGCGCAAGTATGTGTCACATCATTTAGACATAAACTATGAAAAATAATGATTGATAGCTTTTTTACATTTGCTGTTCAATTTTGAGATTCGAGGAAGCGTCGCGCAAGGAGGACGATGTGGCGGTGGAGCGGCTGTACAAGTTGTTCCCGCAGATCGGGCGCGCTGAAGAGGGCGTCGACCTTCTCGCCAAGTATCTCGCCACACAGGTGACACATACTGTTATTACTGTCTGTAAATGCCTGTCATTAAGAACTGACATATTGTGTGACTATAATTATTTAAATACAAATGAAAATATTGTAACATTCAGACGGAGAGTAAAATCCGTAAGGCGTGCACGTTAGAAGGTGGGGGTGGTGTGGGGGACGGGGGCGCGGCGCACGCGGACGCGCTGACTCGCGTGCTGGAGGCGGGGGCGGGGGGCGTGCAGCGCGCGCGCTCTCTGCTGGCGCCAGCGCACGCCCTGCTGCCGCGCGCGCTGAGACATCTGCAGCCTGTGGTCGGTACTTCGTCGTATTTTGGTGGAACATTAGAAAATAGAAGAGAGAAAGTGCATGTTCTGTAGTGATGGGACGGTGCAGGTGTGCGCGGGCGTGCGGCGCGTGTACGTGTCGCTGGCGGGCGCGCGCGGGCTGCGGGCGGGCGGGGCTGGTGGGGCGGTGCCCTGCGCCGGCGCCGCGCTGGCAGCAGAGCCGGCGCTCAACGAGTTGGCGCTGGCGCACTCCCGCATTCAGCTCTACTTCGCCTTCCTCAGGCGCAACGCCGAGGTACAACCATAAATGTGTGTCACGCAATTCTTATTATATAAGAAGCTAATTGATGTGTTTTTATGAAAAATAATATTGTAGTTAGAGTCGGAGTCGGCGAACCTGTCCGAAGCTGAGAAAGCTGATTGCATGGAGTCGGTGGAGAAGCTGATAGCGGAGAGCGACACCACGCGCACCGCACAGGACATACTCAGCCACTACCTCGAGCTCGAGAGGTCGGTACCACACTTTTTACTATCCTCTCATAATGTTAACAATTCTGATAATTGTGATTTTAATGTTGAATTAACTGAAAAGATATAAAATGCTAAAATGAAAAAAGTGTTGGCCCATGAGGGGATCGTACCCGCGACCTTCGCGTTATTAGCACGACGCTCTAACCAACTGAGCTAATGTGCCTCTTGTACGTTGCCGCTATATTATTATCAGTCTCATACGATGCAATATAATAATTTTTAATCAATTCTATTTTATCATAAAGACGATGAGTCCATTTTCGCTCGCTAGTTTATTATTATAATTTACAAGGTTACATCGATGTATCGTTGACTTAGATCAGCGTCCATTTTATCTCGATCTCCCCAGCTCTAGTGATTTTACTTTAAGGAGATCATGTAATTCGGTTGTTACAAAGTCGGCTAGACTTTAACATAACATGGGGTAAAGTTTTATTTTAGTGACGACCTAGTGGTATGTCATACGTACGAGTGTCAGTTGCACATTTTTTATTGGAATGTAATGGTCGTGCAGAGTGTATAGAATTGTCGATGTGGTGTCGCAGGTTCTTCCTGGAGGAGAGCGTGAGCAAGGCGCTGCGGCTGAGCTCGGCGCAGGTGGCGCTGGCGACGCAGGCGGCGGGCGGGCAAGCCGCGCCCGCAAACCTCGTCGACGATGTCTTCTTCATCGCCAGGAAGGTGATACGGTATGCACCACGATGTCTCACCTAACACATCGCACATTGTTTTGTCACAAACGCATTGACAGTCAATAATGTGGATCCACGTGTGCAACTAAGTGTGTATCTGTCTCGCAGGCGCAGCATCACGACGGGCAGCGTGGACGGAGCCTGCGCGGTGCTCAACGAGGCGGCCGCCGCGCTCGAGCGCTCCGCCGGGGCCTGGCTGCGTCGCCGCCTCGCCGCCCCGCCCCCGGACCCGCT